CAGTCGGCACTGACTGGCGGATGGAATACGGAGGAGGCCAGCTCTATGCGATCTGATGGGACGCAGGGAGGTTATTGGCAGGAGGCGGTCTCTCAGATAGTCAGATCCACTACCATGGAGCGCTTTATTTGATTTCTTCACCATGGCAAACTGATTATTTCTTTAAAAATATTACTGTCCTCTCTGATTTTAGTCTCATTTCTTTTTCCCTTCTCTAGTTCCTTTATCCTTGTCTCGTACCTTTGTTGTCAGCAGAACAGACATATTAGCCCCAGGCAGTCCAGGTAAATATTTTGCTTCTTCTGTACCTCTGTTGTAACTTGCACCTACCCTGTAACTTATTAGCAACAGTTTTATATTCTGCATATCATCCTTTTAGAGAAGAAATGGTTTGGGTATAATCAGGGTATAATCAGAAATAACCAGAAACCAGAAATGGGTATAACCAGAAATAAAAATTTATAATCCTAATTTTTTATTTCTGATTAGATAATAAATGGATATTGAAACAAAAAGGAATTGTGTCTTGATATTTGTTGGGTCACGGAAACTTCTGCCTTGACAATTACCATTTTTCCTATCTTTAAAAATACCACCAAGAACTAAACATATTTTTGAAAGCTAAACAAAGTATACAAGTTGTTTTACTGCTGTGGATTAGTATAAATTCCTATATATGAGAATATAATGAGTTAATTCGTCTAAAAGCTCTAGGAAGAGTAGGAACATTGACTCCATGCAGTCTTGCACTCAGTGGTGTTTTCCATGTGGAGTGAAGCAACAAAAACGGAAGGAGTTGTTTAAAACAGTCCATATGTTGTCCCCTTAAGGTAATTTCATTCAGAAGATGTCATGGATGAACTACTATATTCCTTGAACCAGATTGCACTCTGTCACAGTCTCTAATTTGCTATATCTGATGACAATCATAGCAGTCACATTTGCAAGTAATGCCAAAACCAATAAACTGAAAATTCAGCAAATTTAATTCTTTTGCCGCTATGTGTATTGTTTATAGGAAGGGCCAAAGCTCAGTGGTAGCGTTCATGTGGAAGAATGTAGTTCAGTCCAATCCAGATGGGCTATACCAAAATAGTGACAGGTCTGATCTAGATTAATCAATAGTCAATGTAAACAATATTAGTCTGGATGGGCAAACCTCTTTCATTGCCCAAGTCTTTAATTCTAATATATTGTTTCCACTCTATCTTTCTCTGTCAAGATTTCTTTGCTTCTTAAACTGCTTTTAGCCACTTCATTGCCTTATTCCTGTTTCAGCCATGAAGCCCTTAGCCTTCCTTGTTTAGAATCATAGAATCATGGAGCTGGAAGGAATCTTGGAGATTTTCTAATCCAATCCACTGTTCAAGGCAGGAGACCTTATATTATCCCAGAAAAATGATTGCCCAATCTTTTCTTGAAAACCTCACAGGATAGAGCATCAACAACCAAGGGAGGCAAGCTATTCCATTGATTAATCATTTTCACTATCAGGACATTTCTCCTTAATTCCAGATTGTATCTCTCTTTAACACGGTTTCACCCCTGAGTCTTATTTAGAGAATAAGTCAACTCCCTCTCCTCTGTGACAACCCCTCAAGTACAAGAAGACAGCTGTCATGTCATTCCCTAATCCCTCTCTTTGTTAGGCTAGAAGACATACCCAGATCTCTTTATATGTTTATCACATGATGTAGTCTCCAGTTCTATTATCATCTTCATTGCTCTTCTGTGATTTTCTAGCTTTTGGTCTCTGGCTTCTCTATATTATTATTATAATCAGAGTAAACTTTTGACACTTAATTATAGGAATGAACAACCTTTCCCATAATTTAATTCTTGTTTGAAAATTGGTTTAATGATTGATTTTCTGTGACTTCATGTATTAGGGGAGAAATTATCTAGGATATTTGATACAAATACTAAACTTTCTCCCAATTAATTCCTCATTTTTCAACTACTCCTATAGCTGTGTCATAAACAAACTGTTTGTGAACAATGAGCTAGAATTTGTCAGAATTCTTGCTTACTGGTAAACAAAGAGCTGTTGTTTGGTTTGCCTTTTTCCTGATGCAATGTCTCCAGTTCTATATCATCTGTGAGAATTTAGCAGCAGATCTGATGGGAGAGGTGAGCTAGGGGATCGGCAACTTCCGTAGGTGGTGGGAAAAGTAAGTGCCCCTAGGAAGGTGATAACAGCGGGAAATAAAATAATTAGTACATATAAGACCACAGAGATGACCTTGAAGAAAGTATGCAATGGAAATTACAAAAACATGATTTAAGCCTAGGATTTTTTTTAAAAAAGGCTTCAAGTGACTCTGCCTTAATTATCTTGTGTATAAGATGGAGGGATAGTATTTGGTATAGGATTGTATCCGTATTGAACACCAATTTTATCTATTGTCCATTGCAGTTATTTTGTTATTTTTGCAATGATATGCTCAGATGAACTTCCTATAATATGCAGAAAAACATTTAAAATGGCCACAATTAAATTCTATTCTGCTGTTGGTGTTTGAATAACTAACATAACTAAATACTACAAAAAGATTCTGAAACTTTGCCAAGCTTCAGTAATTATGTGGCAATACGTACTTGGGCTTTTTTCTTTCTTACAAATTGAATTTGAAATAGCAAATAGAACGTAGGGATTGACTTCCGTTGGTACAAATTGCTTCAGCCAATCATCCTCACTGGCCTGAACTCCGAGTTCCCTGCCACCTTGCACATAGCCAGGTCCATTGAGTTTGCTTTCTTCATCCTACTGATGCTGGCTGTGCCAGGCCTTTTTTCTGAGACCACTTGTGACATTTTTCCAATAGTGTGCAGCCTTGCACAAGTTGTGTATGGCCGCCTTGTCAGGGTTTGGAAGGATTCAAAGCCTTGTGAAAAGGCTGCCAATGATTTGGACAAGAAAGGTTTGATGCAGCCAGCAGCCTCAAATACTTGGTCAGCACTAGAAGAAAGAAGATGGTGATGCTCAGCTATGGTGGCAGGGCCTCCAAGTGAACATAGCATAGATGGCAGAGAGATATGCATGGGGGATTTGAAGTGTCTTTTTGGTCATAAGTGTGAAAGGACTGCCATGCACTCAAATTTTAATCATATGACCAGGGGGACACTGCGGTTGGAAATTTTGGAGACCAGTCATAAGTCAATTTTTTTCAGCACCATCATGATTTCAAATGATCTCTAAATGAATGGTCATAATATGAGGACTAGTTATATGAGTTTTGCATTATTAATTAACACCAGAGTATAATCACGTAGGTGAAAACTGAGAAAGTTTCTCTTAGAGCATCTGTAAATTGAAAATTAAGGTTTCATTTAGAATCATCAAACCGGCTTTCATTTTTTATTTTATTGACATACTGGTCTCTACATAAGTTGCAAAGTCATTTTAATTTCTCTTATAATTTAGGACATATTACTTGCTTATAATGCTGTGGAAAATGTTTCTAATCCCCCAGTGGTTTTACAAGCATTGGACATTTACTTGTGAATTTTATATTGCTGTTATGTTATGTTTTATGTTGTGTTTTATGTTATGTTTATGTTACATTATGTTTATGTTAATTATGTTATTCTAAACTATATGATACTGTTTTTATTAAAGTATTTTATTTTGAATTTGAATGCATTAGTTAGCGTTCAAACACATTTATTTGTGTTCAAAATGGTTTTAGAGGTTGAACAAGAAAAATTAACAAAGGACACGCATCTACATACTTCATTTGCTAAATAAGCCTCACAAATTTAAATTCAAGTAGCTTGTCAATTATCTCAAATTACCCTCCGTCTGTCCCATAAACTGATGTTGGTTTTTGGATTTCAATTGCATTCTTCTTATTTTTCTTTTTCTTTTTCCCCCAGCTGAAAATAAGTCACCACCTCGTTCTTGTGGCTTAAATCATTCAGATTCTCTTAATAGAGGAGATCGCATTGATGCCATGACACCAGCAATAGGGAATAGCAACAATCAGTTGAACTCCTCATTTCTTCAAGTATATGTTCCAGATTACTCAGTCAGAGCAATCTCAGACATTCAATATGTCAAGGTATGAAAGGGGAAAAAATTGGATCTTCTACCTGTAGTTGTAGACTGGGAATATAGGCTGTCTAAACTCTTAATTGTCAATCAGTTGTTTTGTCATAAAACACTCAACACTTGGAAAGAATTGTTTCAGATGCAGAACATTTTATCTGTTTAGAGGTGATCTTGTACTTCTTTTAGGGAAGAACTAAATGCTAACTGGATAAATTAATGAAGTTTGCTCAGTTAATGGCAGTTTGAGAGCTATTGTTGGAAGGAATCAGCAGTTAAACAAATCCCCCTTGGTCAACCATACTTTCACCTGCCTTCTCTTTTCAGCTAATACTTTCTAGCCACTCATTAGTGGCTAGAAAGTTGGAATTAGTTGGAAATCTTAATGCTTTTTACTTCATATATTATTCTGTTCCCAAATTGTTTGATATTTTTTTTAATACTTTAAAGGCATCTTTTAAATTTAGCTAATGATTTAGACAATGATTTGAATGTGTGTGGGAAGGATGGGTATTATGTGTGAGAATGTGGATAACAGAGATAGAAAGATAGCATGGTCATTTCATTTATCATTCATTTATTAGGTTTGTATGCCGCCCTATTCCCGAGAGACTCAGGGCGGCTTACAATAAAAAGGGAGGGGATACAAAAATAAAATAAAAACAAACAATTTAAAATTCTACAACAGCCGTAACCTCGAATGGGGCTGGATAGTTCAACAGCCCCAGGCCTGCCGAAACAGCCAGGTCTTAACTGCTTTGCGGAAGTCCGGAAGAGTAATAAGGGTCCGGTTCGCCACGGGGGGCTCGTTCCAGAGGGCCGGAGCAGCCNGGAATAATGTCAGCGTTCCAAATACCATGCAGATTTAAATCAGAGTCGAAGGCAAAACTATGCTTAAAGTTCCAATTTAATAAGGCAGGCATGTTGGCATCCTGCTGTGGGATTCCAACTTGCCTTCGGGTTTGGCTGGGCAGAGAGGGCGGTTTAGAAGAAACCAAGCGAGGCTGTTCCGAAAGCGCTTCCACTTCCTCCTCGCCACCTCATCTTCGCCAGCGCTCCAGTGCCCTTTCCCCCTCCCACGGTCAGTCCGCACCTGCCATCTAGCTCCTGCTCCGCAGGAAAAAAAGACCTCAATGTTCCTCAAAAGCACGGCGGCAGAGGAGAAGGTGGCGAGGCTAACGCTGGGCCCAGCTCAGGTGCTCCAAGCGGAGGGGGAGGTGCCGCCACTACCGCCATGGATGGGGGCGCCAGTGGGAGCTTCGGCAGCTTTACCTCAACTGCAGCACCGGGCAGCAAATCCGGCGGTGCTGTTGGAGGAGGAGGAGGAGGAGGCAGTAGAAGGAGGAGAAGGCAGTTATTCTGGCGGCAGCGGAGGTTCGGCGGCATCTTCTGCGGCGGCCGGTTCAGTGGCAGCCATTGGAAATTGTGGGTGCTTCATAACTGGAAGATTTTAAGAAGAGACTGGACAGGCATCTATCAGAAATAGTATAGGTCTTGTGAGAACAGGGGTTGGACAGAAGATGACCTCCAAGGTCCTTTCCAACTTAATTACTGTTGCTGAGAGGATGAACAATGACACTCAGAATGAAGTCCAGGACCTCCTTGGATAATCAGATAATCATTTTAGAAGCTGATTACTGTTTTACTGCAGCATTGGGGGGGGAAATCAAAAGATTGGCCACTGAGCAGCTGCCCAGAAAAGTTTTCCTAAATACTTTTCAGCTTGATGCTTTCAATGTGTCAATGATTTGCACATACATGCAATGCCATCAATTTATCAGGAGATGGTGATGTTGAACAAAGAATTGCAGCTCAGTTTCTGAGCAGTAAGATGCCATTGCAATGCAGTAACTTGGTCTATGGTTCAGGTTCTGGCCTCGGAGTTAGCATGCCTAGTTCTGCTTTCGGCATGCAAGGCAGCAACTGAACCTGGGCCAGTCACTGTCTCTTGGAGGAAGAAGACAACAGCAAATCACTTCTGAAAACATCCAGAAAGCTTCATGACACCAATTGCTGGGAGTCAAATCTGATTAAAAGGACAAAAATGGAGTGTATAAAAATAGTGTGTGCATTCTAGAGAGAGTAAGTTCATAGTACAGCACCAAACATATACAGACACATGCAGGATCACTAAAAATAATATTCTCATTTTGAACCAATCTGTCATGTGACCTTTTAAGGTACTCAGGAACTCTTTTTCTAGTCTAGTCTAGTCGATAGTTAAACCAGCACAGGGGGAAGGGGGGACCCAGATAGCAAATCTGATTCTGGAACAGACTAAGAAGATGCAATTTTGCTCATCTACATTTATTTCAGTGTTCAGATAGTATTCTTCATGAATAAACATTGTACAAATTATATTTAATTCCCAATAATTTTATCTCTTCTGTACTCTAGGATCCCATTAATGGTAGCCTCAGTATTCAATCTTGTTCAGTCGTACAACCTCACCCAGATGGCTACTATGCTTAGAAAATGAAAAACAGCACAATGTAGAAAGTCCTCAACTTACAACCACAACTGAGTCCAAAATTTCTCTTGTTAAGTGAGATATTTGTTATGTAACTTTTGCCCCATTTTACACCTTAGTGCAGTTGTTAAGTTAGTAACATTATTGTTCAGTGAATCTGGCTTCCCCATTCACTTTGTCAGATCACAAGATGATCACACGACCCTGGTACAGTGCAACTGTCATAAGTACATGCCAGTGGCCAAGCGTCTAAATTTTGATCACATGACCATGAGGATGATGCAGTGGTTAAGTGGGAGACAACGCCACTTTTCCCGGTGCTGTTTCAACTTTGAATGGTCACTAAACAATGGTTCTAAATTGAGGACTACTTGTATAGTCAATTGTCCTACAGTTGCCTCAGCACTGGGCAAAGCTTGGCCTCAGTTGTGGCAAACCCGAAATCTGCCTACTCCTGGTTCGCCAAGGGCTTCTGTGTGACTCAGAATTTGGTTGTTTTGTGTCTTTGCATCTTCAAAGCACAATCCTAGGCAATGATCTGGGTTGCTTCCGTTGCCTTCCTTAACTTTACTCCTATTTGGGGGGATTAGAAGGACGGAACACACCCACCCACCGGCAGACGTTTGGGGCTTTCTCTGTGCCTCAAACCTTTTGGAGGCAGCGCCCTTAGGAGGGGGGCAGCGGAGAAGGTCCAGGGCCTTTCCTGGGCTATAGGAGGACAAGGAAGGGCGGGGGCTTCTTTTTCAAAGGGGAGGGGGCCTGGGGGTTGGGCAATTGCCCGGCCCATCCAATGAGCCCCTCCCAAAAACGTCACCTGCTGCTACGTGAGAAGATCCAATGGATCCAGGTTGTCCCTCCAGGGCACAGCAGCTCCGTTAAGTCGAAGGCTAGGGATTCTTTCACGGGTTCAGGTTTCCCCGCGCTTTGCGCCACTGGCCAATGGGCGGCAACCGAGGGGAAGCGGGAGGCCGAGCCGGGGCTCCCGAGCGGACGGGGGGGGGGCGCGGAGGAGTGAGCGGCCTGGGGGGGGGCGCCGCTGTAGCCCTTCTCCCGGCGTCCCCCTCCCCCTTCCTTCGGGGCCGGGCGGGGGGCGACGTGCGCCTGGCGGGAAGGTGAGGGCGACGCCTGTCCGCGCCCACTTCGCCCATCCGGCACTGCTCATTGGCTGCGTTCCGGGGACGGTCCGGGCGGGCGGCCGATATAAGCCGCGGATGGCTGCGAACAATACGGCTTAGCCAAGCCGCTGGGCTCCTTCGTGGCGGGGCTTAGGAGGCGCCTCCCCGGCCGCCGCTTCCGTCGCTCGCCGGCCCAACCGGGCTGCTGCGAGGCTCTACGCGGCCCGGCCCCGCGCGCGGCAGCTGCAGAGCAGCTGCCCGGCAGCGCAGGTGGCGGCGCTGAGCCCGCCGGCGGTTTCCGACCCGGCCCCGGCAGGAGCCAGAGCTGCGGCCGCCGCCACCGGCCATGGAGCTGGACCTGCCGCCGCCTTACTTCTACGAGCCGCTGGAGGCGCAGGGCGAGGATTTCCACCGCTCCAGCGCGCCCAGCGAGGACATTTGGAAGAAGTTCGAGCTGCTGCCCAGCCCCCCCGCCTCCCCACTGCCCGGTCCGGCCGAGGATGCCGCCGCCGACGGCCCGCAGGAGCCCGCCGCGGGGCTGCTGGGCAACCTGAGCGCCTTCGTGCTGCGCGACTGCATGTGGAGCGGCTTCTCTGCCCGCGACCGCCTGGAGAAAGCCATGGGCGAAAAGCTGGCGGCCAAGCCCACGCCGGCCCTGGCGCCCGCCCATGACTTCGGCGGGCTGGGCGGCGAGTGCGTGGCTCCGGGCGCAGTTTTCGCCTGGCCCGGCGGGAGCGCGGCGGCGGCGCCGCCCGCGGACACCAAGATCCCGGTTTCGTCCGGCTCCGAGAGCCAGAGTGACTCCGGTAAGGCTAGCATGGAACCGAGGGAGGGCTGGAGGGTCGCCCCAACCATCCTCTGCTCATCTCTCCGCCTCCCCGGGAGTTTCTGCTCCCGCGAGGAAGTTTGCATGGTCCCCTCCCGCCTTCCCTCGCTGTCCCTGAACTCTCCAAGGCTGCTTCTATCTGCTCTCCTCCCCGGGCAGCTTCCTGCTTTAGCCCCTGCCCAATCAGCTGCCCCTCGGCTGGTTCCCAAGGAAGCTGGATGAAGGAGGCTGCGGTCCCCGGGCGAACCCAACTATTGGCTTAGCGTGTTGTCGGGATTGGGTCGTTATCGGGCAGGGCAGGCGAGGCGGTGGCTTTTCCACATGTTGAGTGAAGTCAGCCCGAGGAGCCTTGAAGACAGATCTGGAGAGATCTCCCTCCTCTGCTCCTGGGGTCAGTCGGTAGGAGGGGGCCCTTCCTTGAGGAACTGGAAGTGGCCCTTTCAAGTTTCTGGGTGGCTGCTCTGCATTGCAATCCTATGAACTACAATTTACTTCTTAATTATTAATTATTGGAAGGCTTGGAATAGCAGCATCTGCAGCATCCTAAAGCTAAAAACTGGTAGCATGGCAGGCTGGTAAATAGAGCAAGAGTGGAGTCTCTTTCTCTCCCATTTTGCAGCTTGGCGCTTAAAATGATCTGAAAGCCATTATGTTCTTGGGGAAGAAGAAAAGGGGCGGGGGCAGCCAAACCATGCCTGAAGTTTGGCTGCACACATCAGTTCACATTCAGAATTGCACAGGAGTAAGAAAGAACCTAGAGACTGAGAGCCAGAGCCAGCCTTTTTAAAATTGGGGGGGGGGGCTGCAAGGAACTTTCTGATCTAGTAGGAGACCCATGGACTTCAGGGGAAGAGTGACAAGCAAGGACAGAGAGAGAGGCAACGTGTTGGGTGTGGGAGATGGGCTATTAGAAATGGAAGGGCATGATAAGGTCTACAAAGTAATGGTTGAGTTGCGTGTCCTTAGTAGTTCATCAAAGCCCCGAAACTCTTGTTCAACAAATACACTGCAAGGATTGCTGATGCCTGGTCCAGTCAGCTACTGTTAAGGCACTTTGATCCCTTTTGTGTCAGATTTAAGACTTGAGTTTTACCTGGCTCAGTCCATTTGGTGTGTTCACAACAGAGCAGGTGATGGTAGGAGCTGCCTGTCCTTGTTCACAACTCCACCTTTTCACTGGTTGATTTTTCTGGCTGAAACCAAAAGGGGGATCTCCCGTTTCTTAACTACTCCACCCACGAGGCACTAATATTGCATATCAAGCCTTGATATTCGAGTGGTTTGAGTGTACCTGGCTTGTTAAGCCTTGCATGTGCAAATATTATGATGGCTTATGTGTTCAGTAAAATAAGCAATGGCAGAGATGCTTTCTGAAGTGATGCTTTCTTGCTGACTCATTCTAATGAAGTAGTCTTTCTGGAAAAAGTGTTTTCCAGCATAAAGACTAATTCCAGGGTGATAGCTGCCCTCTGTTGAAAAGACAGTTCAGACAAAGTGAGGAGACACCTTCTGTTCAAGAACAGCTTTTACCCAGCTAAACTGGGAGAGGGAGGTTCCTTGCGCTTCTACTGCATTCTACTTCCAGGCTTCAAGCCTTGTTGACCCTCTTTCTGCTTGAGTCACTAGGTGAATGGTGATGCCTTGTGACTCAGCTTGCAGGGCTGAAGAAACAAATCTGGTGTAAGGTTTAATTACATGAGGACACTGGTAGGTCTGGCAGAGGCTTAATCTCAGTTCACAAAGGGGTGAGAACTGTTACTGATTGATTGAATCATGTTCTTGTGTTGACATGGACTTCACCCCCACCAATAGGAGAGCTCTGTCCACAAATGTCCTTTTCAGTCAGGGACAAAAACAGATGCTCATGTTTGGGTTATTTTGAGGGGGCGTGGTTGCCACTCATTAACAGTGGCTAGAGGAGAAACCAATGGGGATAGGAAGGGGGTGGCATTTCAGAATGATCCATCAGTTTCTTGCATTCTGGAACCAACAGTCAGGTGTGTGTGTGTATGCGTGTGTGTCTTTTTGTTGACTCCTGGAAATTGCCTCTATGAATCCTGCAGTTTTCTTGACCTTGCTTGGCCATGGGTCACCCAGCTGGCTTTTTTAAAAAATAATTTTATTTTTTATTACATAGACAACATCACATAACAATAAAAAAAAAACAATGGGAAAAGGAGAGAAAAAAAAGGAAAGAAAAAAAAGAAAAAAAAACCCATCATCACATACAATATGTCATTTGATCACAGGTGCATCCCTACTACGTTTATACATCCCGTATCTCTCGCTGGCTTTGTGCCAAAGGGGAGACTAGAACACAGGGCCTGTTTGTAGCCTGATGCTTTAACCACTAGACCAAACTGGCTTTTTAACCAATATTAATCCTAGGGATAAGTTGGATTGTGCAAAAGGACAACATAAAAATGTAGAGCAAGAGGTAGAAAGAGATATGGGAATTCATATTGGGTATAAATGGGTATTCAAATCTTTCACTTTAAGAATTGTATGCTGTTTTCAGAACCAGAACATACACAGTAAAAAAAAACCACTAGTCCTCAAAAGTAGTGATCCATTTATAATTTTGTCAAGTGCAGATGGGTGCTCTGTAGAGGGTAGGGTGTTCCCACAGACTCTTTCCAACCCCCCCACCCTGCTTGCTCACTCTTCAGTACTGGTGAGACAGGGAGCCCCGGATCTTCTCTTATACACTAGAGACCTCTTTGAATTTGGATAAGACAAGTTGCAAGAGAATAGCAGAATCTTTCCATTATCATTGTTTAACATGTAACCCAGTGGTGGGATTCAAAATTTTTAACTATCAGTTCTGTGGCTTGGTGTGCATGGCAGGGGAAGGTTACTGCAAAATCCCCATTCCCTCCCAATCAGCTGGGACTCCGGAGGCAGAGAATAGTTGGGGGAGGGGCCAGTCAGAGATGATATTTACTGGTTCTTCGAACTACTCAAAATGTTCGCTACAGGCTCTCCAGAACTGCTCAGAACCTACTGAATACCACCTCTGATGAGCACTGCGCTTGGGTTTTGAGAATGAGAAATAAGGTGCATCCAAGCATCTTTATAATACCTTGGTAAGACCACACCTAAAATCCTGCATCCAGTTTTGGCCAGCACAATATAAAAAAGATGATGAAACTTTAGGAAAAAATGCAGAGAAGAGCAACAAAGATGATTAGGGGGCTGGAGGATAAAACATATAAACATTGACTGCAAGAATTGAGTATGTCTAGTCTAGTGAAAAGGAGGGCCAGGGGCAAAATAGGATATTTAGCCAATATTTGAGGGGCTGCCACAAAGAAGATGAGGTCAGCCCCTATTTTCCAAAGCAACAGAAAGCAAGACAAGAAACAATGGATGGAAACAAACCAAGGAGAGAAGCAACCTAGAACTAAGGAGACATTTCCTGTCAGAACAATTAACCAATGGAATGGCTTGCCTTCAGATGATGTGGGTGTTTCTTTACTGGAAGCCTTTAAGAATAGACCGGACAACCACTTGTCTGAAATGGAGTCCGCTGCTTGTGCAGCGGGTTAGACTAGAAGACCTTTAAGGTTCCTCCCAATCTGTTCTGTAATTTTATCTTTCCAGTTAAAAACCCTCTGCTGTGGACTCCTCTCTCTGTTTCTTCTCCACCCTGTTAGCAAAGGAGAGAAATGCTGAACCAGAGGGTGGAGTTTGGTGAGAGGCAAGTTTAGACAGGCGGAAGCCTTCCCTAAAAAGGCCTTCTGTCTTTCAGAGAGCCCTGCCAATCTGTCTGAAGAAGAAAGAGGGGTCTCTTAGGAAGTTTACTCAAGCCTTTCTCAACTCCTCACTCTTTTTGGGTGAGCTGCTGGGCAGGAGGTGCTGTCTCCCTTTTTGTGCCTCTGGAGTTGGAGAAAGGCGCTATAGATTGAGGGCTTCTGAGAAGGGGCAAGTCAAAGGGACAAAAGCCAGTTTCCCCCTCCCCCCTCAGGTCTGTGCTTCATTTACAATTCCAATGAGCTATTGAAGAACAGGGCAAAGATGGAGGTGGATTTAACCCACAAAGTTTACTCCAGTCCTGCCTCCCAATCAGATATAATTTTGTTCCTGTTGTCCTTGTAGTTGTCTTCAGTAGAGATTTCTTCCCTTCCCTCCAGAGTACCAGGTCACATGCCTTCTTTGGCTGCAGTTCGAAACAGATTGAATTTGGAGGGTAGAAATCCCCTCCTTCCTATTTTCAGGATCTCCTGACAGGTCGGAGTAGGACAGGAGGCTACATGTGTACTTTTGGGGGAGTGTGGGGGAGGGGTTGTCTAAAGGTGCCCACCTGGTCAGTTTTAGAGTTTGGCTTTAATGTCTGATCTTTTGCTACTCAGTCATAGATGTGTAAGTTCGCTGCTTTAAGGAGTTTTACTTTATTATTGTGTTGCATTTGGTTACTTAAATGCAATAAAACAATATCAGTAGTATTATTAGTATTAGCAGACTGATAACATCTGATGAAAAAGAGAGGGAGGGAGAAGAGTATCAGACCAGGGGTCCAAATGCCCAAATACTACCCAAAGAGGACACAGTATTGCTTACTCACCTAATATCTAAGGAGGAAAAGTCATTCAGTGTTCCAGATATTTGAGTTTGGAGATGCGTCTGTTGTCTTCTGAGCCACAAGTCATTCCAGAATTTGTTAATGCCCTTGACACATAACTTAGGATCAGGAGCAGTCATTTTACTCTGCATTGTGACAACAGGATGGCAGCCTGCACAGTGCCACAGAATGTCCCTCAAGTTTTTTTTTTCTTAGGAAAATTGCCACATAATTCTTTAACATTATGGCAGCTGAGGAAAGGAGAGGGCAAGGCATAGATGAAAATTCTGCTGTTCAGGGAGGCCATCCGACCCTTGGAGTCAGATCAAGCCAGTTTCCAGTAGTTGTAGAAGTTAATACCTGGTTTGGGATGCTTACACACCTTTTCTGAAGAAAGAGGCCACAAGCTTCCACCTACTTCTGCGGGAACCCTTGGTTCACACAAGTTGAGACGTGTTTTGTTCAGCTATGGTTTATTGAAAATCACAATTAGCTGGATTTGCATAATATGCAAACCAAAACCAAGCAAACCACAGTACAGCTTAACCATCTGCCTTGAGCTGTTTCTTGGCTCGTGAAGTGCTCTCCATTCATTGATCCTCTACAGTTGCCCACTGTGTTCAGTTCAGTTAATAAGTTGTTTGTCACTGCCTGAAGCACAGAAACGGGCCTTGATACCCGTTGATTCCTCCATCTTTTCTTTATTTGCAGAAGAAGAAGAAATCGATGTGGTGACCGTTGAGAAGAGGCAGGCTTTGGGGACAAGGAAGCCAGTCACCATCACAGTGCGGGATGACCCTCTGGATCCCTGCACCAAGCATTTCCATATTGCCATCCATCAACAGCAGCACAACTATGCTGCCCGCTCCCCACCTGAGGCTCACTCCATTAAGGGGCCTTTGGAGAAGGGCAGCCTGGATGCCGAAGACAATGAGCCACAGTCGCCCGGGCAGGGGGTAGAGAGTTTCCTTCCTGCGGTTTCCCTCCCCAAGGCTGGTGGTGCTCCTGGCTCGGACAGTGAGGATGTGACCAAGAGGAAAAACCACAACTATTTAGAGCGCAAGCGGAGGAATGATCTTCGTTCGCGTTTCCTGGCACTGAGGGACCAGGTGCCCGGTCTCGCATCCTGCCCCAAAACCCCCAAAGTGGTGGTCCTGAGCAAAGCTTCCGAGTATCTGCATCTGCTTCTCAGTGCCGAGCAGCAAATGGTGGCTGAGAAGAAGCTGCTGAAACTGCACCAGCTCCAGCTACGGAAACAGATTTCACACCTGCAGGGCACGGAGTAGCTGGCCAGGCCTCCTGGGTTTTTAGTCGCATCGGCACTTTTTGGTTGGTTATGGGTTGCAGACTCCTAATGGAATGTCATTCCCATCATGCACTGCAAGTCATATGGGGCTTGTCCTTATTCTGCTGCTCCCGTCTGAATTCTGTTCCTCCTTCCAGGAGAGAGAGGGGGCTTCAGCTGCCAAAATGAGGCTTTTGCTGCACAACGTTGGATTATGGCCAAGCCCCACGGCCGTCTCCTTTTTGGTGGGCCCAGCTGGACCCAGACGGCTGTTTCTCCAGAGGGACCTAGACACACCAGACACACCACACTTGATGTTTCAAGGGGGCCCTGAGCCACATTTCTCAGTGGAGGTCAAGAGTGCATGGTGCATTTGTAATTTGTGGAGGGTGGATCTTTCTGCAATTTGTTGCTTTTTTCATAATAATGTGATGGTAGTCAAATTCTCTGTCTCGTCCCTTTGTTCCTGGACCAAGACTTCTTAGAATTGGCATTTTCTGTTCCTCCAACAAATTGTGGATGGATCCTTTGTGCAAAAGGTTATTTCAATCTCTGGAGTCCAGGGGAGCTCAGACCTCCCTGGAAAGGCAGCAAGGAGCTGCCTCTGGTTTTAGGGAGACCTCATTCCAGTTGAGTGCAACCTGCGCAAGTGGGAGTCCATGACAAGCGTTTGGTGCAAAAGGCACTTTGGCCACAGATACCATCTGTCTTGTCAGAGTTTCTCCAGCTCACATGGGTGGGGGCTTAAAAAAGCACCCCACTTTACACTATCACTAGAACAGCACTACAATCACCTTGAATTTGATTTACCTCATTCTTTTTCCATTTAATGACAAACCAGGGCTTATCTTGGCATTTGTATATCCTAGAACCTAATGTAGTGACTGCCTCATTCTTTGTACCAAACTGCTTTTTAAAGATATATACTGTATTTTTGTACTTTTTAGATTTTTTTTGGTTTTTGTAAAATGTTGGCTCTTTCCCTCCCCCCCTTTGTTTCTATACCCAAATATACCGCCTGCAGTCAGGGAGGTGGGCCACCTCAGTGGCTTCCAAGGGAGTGATTCAAATTGGCTCCCTTGGGAACAGGCTGCTTTCCAAAAACTGGGATGACTGGAAATTCTTCTTGCAGGGAAGAGGCTAGTTCCAACTTGCAAGCACCAATAACAGATGTCCCAGGGGCCTGTCTTGTGGGAAGCAGAGCCGACCCTGCACTTTCAACCTGACTCCAAGATGGGGTTTCTTTCCCAGAGAAAGCAGGAAAGGGCTGCTCTTGTACTGGGCTACTATGGGCTGCCCATCTGTGGGGCAAACCTTCAGGGCAGCAAAGTAGGTGAGGTGCGAGTCCTGGCTTGCCAGAAGCATTGAGAAGTGAACGAGGAGGCTGGCAAGTGCAAGGTGCATGGTGGATGAGGAAAGCTGTGTGTGTGCGCCTTCCCTGGGCTTTAATGTCATGTGCTGCACCAAGCTCACTGGGAAAGGTGGATGCCTAAAGCAGGGATCTCCAAACTTGGCAACTTTAAGACTTCTGGACTTCAACTCCCTGGATTCCTCAGTCAGACTCAGAAGCCTTAAAGTTGTCAGTTTTAGAGACTCCTGGCCTAATCCTTTCGGAAACTGTCCTTCTGCCCAAGGCCTCTGCAGTGGGTCCCTTTCTTCTTCAGTGGAAGAGCCACCCGAGGATCCATGCTGGTGGGATGGGCAGAAAGACTGCCACGTTTATCTGCTGCAAAGGACTCCTGTTCATGGTGGGCTTTATTTCTAGGTTGGGATGGCAGCCTTTGCTAATGGGAGAGGGGCTGAGCAGCATCTCCCTCTGCTTGGGCCAAGCTTTCCTAGAGAGCGGCTGCTCCCTCCTTATGCAAACCTCCCCCATCCTCCCCCATTTCAGGAGGGGTGAGAGTGATGGGCCCCCTTGCTGGCACAGTACAGGTTCCACCATGCAGATGCCGCTGGGATGTTCCTCAGCCCGCCCTGTCAAAGTTTCGAGCCTGGGTGGTTCAGACTTAGCACTTCGTTACCTTACATTTCTGAAATAAATTAATTACAAAAGGGCAAACGAATGTAGTGTCTTCTCTTGGTGAGGGGGGGGGGGAAGATTCTTACCTTGTGGGGAGGCTTCTGCTGTGTTGAATCCAGCTGAAACTGAGCTGTTTGGTAGTGAGAGCAAAAGGCACATTTGTGCTATAGTGGAAATTCCTCAAGACTGACCATCTTGGATTGTTCAGCACCTTCCTTTGGTCTCCTGAAGTGCTAGGACACTTGTGGGCAGCGTCTGGCTAATTCGGGGTATTGTCATGATTGTTACCCCATTCCACCCCCTGCAAACAGAGACTTACTCTAATTCGGGAGATAATGCAGCAAAGTTGGTTCTTTGAAGGATAAGGGGCTTTTGGGGCTTTTGGGCATCCCAAAACATTCAGGGCTGCATTCTTATTCCAACAAAGTGCTTCAGAGTTTTGCTTGCTCTGAGAGAGAGGCCAACAGCTTGTATTCAACTTGACAGATGCAAGAGGAAGATGAGGGGTTGGTTTTCCCCACACTAGAACTGGATTTGCGTCGAAATTCAAAGATAATTAAAATGTTTGATTCAAAAGGTTTTATCAGACCAACAAGATGACCAGAACAGAAGATCCTGGTTAGCCCCATCATCCTTGGGACTGTGGTATATGATGTGAAAGGAAGCATGAAATCCCTGGGGATGGGGGACAGAGACACAAGCCCAACTAAGTGTTCCTATGCTCGAGAGAGAGAGGCCTCTTTAGCTTGTGGCATGGATTTGAAATGCTAGCCGTTAAACAAACATCCTGGATTCACACAACATATTAAACTCATGTTAACAGTGCAATTCTGTTTTCACATGTCTCTAAAGACAAAACATGTTAACTAGTTTCAGTGCAAAATGAATCAAACTAGCAACATTTTAGCTTAGTATAGCATGTGTGAACCAGGCCTCAAATGTCTTACGCATTATGCTTCGATATGCATTTCCATGTTAGTTCTGGCTAGCAGGTTTATTTGGCTACTCAATATTATAACATTAAATGAAGATTATGTCAGTCTGGTGACCAAAAATCAGATCAGTAACTAAAGTAAACTAAAGGCTTCTTCCTTTAATTAAAATTTTAATTTTAATTAAAGGGGGGCTACCAGGCTCCTCATTTTACCTTTAGAGGACTAATGGCTCTGCTTTGCCCAGGTAAGAATGACAGGTATGATGGTGAACCTCAGTCTCCCCAAACTGCAGCCTTCCTTCTGAACTCTGAGATTGGAATATTGCCATTCTTGGGAAGGCCAACATATGCTCAGCAGCCTTCTAGCCTGTTTATGTCATCAGGTCTCCCTAGGCACACTGCTACAAATAGTTTATAAATCATTTGGTTTTTCCAATTTGCATAAAGAAACTAACAGATATAAGTTTTCAACCCAAAGGGTTCCCAAAATAGGCCCAAACTCAGTAGAGTGACATTCACAGACGTCTGATGTAGCTCGTATAGTCTTCAAGGATTAAAATAATAAATGACCATTTAAAACACACCATCTGTTCTGCAAAATGATGCCCTAACGTGGTCTGCTTTAGAGGGGACATTTCTCCTGGGGGTGGGAAAGCCAAAGTGTAAGCTTTTCTTTGGAGATGCTCATCTTGCAGTGGAGTGCTCAGCCCTTTTTGCATAATAAAAGGGAAGTTGGCAACTGCAGAAATGCTTCAGGCAGCAGTTCCAGTTGGCAGCGAGAACCTCTGGCCTCCTGATCCACAATCGGGCCCCAGAGCAGGGACTCCGTGGCAACTACTTAGGACTCGGCCAGTTCCACTGCATAGATTGGGGGTGGAAATGCACTCCTAAGATGCCAGGTAAGGAACCACAGGACCTTTCTGCAATTTCACCTGGGAATTTCTATCCCTCCAGTGTGTGATCTGGCACTGAGCCACTGCCCAGAGGGCAAAGTGCCCATCTTCTCCTGGCCCATGTCTTCTGTGATGCTATCCCATAAAGTCATTTGGTTGTATTCATGTGACACGCTTATCCTGCTCAGTTGCAGATTTTGTTGCTGCATTTCACATCCTCCCAACCTTGGTTACTTTTAATCATTTTCATTCTTTGGAGATTGGAGTCTGAGCACAGCTGCTTTGAGGGTAGCATGAATGAAAGTATTGTGCAAAGCCTGAAAACTGATAATTAAGCAGTCCATGTAGATACATTCCTGGTACAGGTAGTCCTTGACCTATGGCCACAATTGTGACCAGAACTTTGGTTGCTAACCAATGCAGTTGTTAAGTGAGTCATGCCTGATTTTACCACCACTTTTGCTATGATAGTTAAACAAATCACATGGTTGCTTCCTCCATTGACTTTGTTTGTTGGAAGCCCCCTGGGAAAGTTGCAAGCGGTAATCACTTGATCCTTGGACACTGCAAGCATTGTAAATACAAGCTGGTTACCTGAAAGGCTGTGACAGAGGCTCTCCTGGGTCCCTCAGGACATGAAATTGCAGATCTAGAATCTCAGAAGCCGGATTGCAAGTGAAGGTGTCTGAGGGTTTTGGGGTTTTTTTGAACTAGAACAGCCGGACAGTGGAGGCAATCATGGAGAGAGATGGGCTTTACCCTGAGCAGAAAGACGGATTGTAGTCTAGACATCGCTGCTTTTTGCTCTGTTTTGCTTATCAAGCATTTCCTCTTGTTTGTTTGTTTTTTTGTTTAATCTAGGTGCGTAAAAGCTTCATGTATTTTTCATTTTGCGGGGTAAAAGGAAGGTTAGTTCATGGCTGGGTTAGTAAATTTTCAGGCTACTTTGGCTGAGTCTGCTTTAATCCCATCTCCTCCAATTATATTGCCTGCTCTCCCTGTTGCTATGGCAGGAGATGTGAGTTGCTAGGGGAAAAGTAATCTCCCCCCCCCCTTGTTGCTATGGCAGAACATTGCTGAACCTTTCTGCTACCTTGGCAATAGCTTCCATCTCCTTGGTAACTGTCTCTCCATCCTTTTTCTTCTTTGCTTTTTGTTGCTACGGCAACAATCCCTTTCTCTTGTCTTCGGTCACAAGTTCATGTCTTTATCCATCCCCAGGGCATCCGCTCTTCCAAATGATTGCCATAGCAATCTCCCTCTCCCAACTTTGCTTACCCAATCATTTTTCTTATTCTCCCCTTTGTGCTTGGCTCTCCCCGCCCATGTGCATCAGCCCACCTGGCACCAGATGTGACATGGCAAGGGCAGACCCCTGGCCCAGAGGCCAGCCTCTTCTTAACCTTCCTGATGAGTGAAGACTCCAGTTCTCATCATTCTTGACTTGGAGGGCTCTAGCTTTGCTAAGTTGGAGGGACTGTCATAGATATCCAGCAAACCCAGGTGAGTTACCATGGCATCAGAGCTAAACTGAATGCCACAGACCACGACTGTAGCTCTAATTAAGCAAACCATAGTTATTGGATTCAGAAAACCAATCATGATGTAGCAATACAATATGCAACCCCTCTGGTGTTAAGGCCAGAGAGGCAAATGTCTAAGAGGGAACTTCCTGTAAGACTGGAATACCATGGTGCACCTTCTATGTCTTATAATTCAGTGTATTATATATAGCTACCAACTGTGGTGTAATTAAAACATCCAAGATTTTAAAAAAACATGACAGAATAAGAAAGTTGGAAGGACCTTAGAGGTCTTTTAGTCCAACCCCCTGCATGAGCAGGAAACACTATATCATTCTGGATAAATGGCTGTTGGCTCTTCTTTAAAACCTCCAGTGATGGAGCACCCACAACCTCTGGAGGGAAACCATTCCTCTGCTTAATTGTTCTCACCGTCAGGGAATTTTTTTCTTAATTCTAGGTTGGTCCTCTCCTTGATTAGTTTCCAACTGTTGTTTGTCTTGACTTCAGGTGCTTTGGAAAATAGGTTGACCCCCTCTTGTCTTTGTAGGAGCTCCTCAAACATGAGAACAGTGCTATCATGTCCCCCTATGTCCTTCTTTTCAGTAGACTAGACATGCCCAATTCCCGTAACCATTCATGTTTTAGCCTCCAGTCCCCTGATCATTCTTGCTGCTCTTCTCTGCACTTTTTCTAGAGTTTCAACATCTTTTTATAATATGGTGACCAAAACTGGATACAATATTCCAAGTGTGGCTTTACCAAGGCCTTGTAAATCACCTGATCTTGATTCTAGCCACAATGTGTTTTTCTTCTCCAGATGCAAATGCCAACTTTATTGATTTCGGCTACAAACTCTGCAGGCCTGGCTTGAGCAGAATTCTGTTCCCTTCAACTCTAGCCACAATATTGAATTGCAGGGGGAATCTCAGAAACCTCAAGCAACTGCAGGGGACGTCAAAGGTGTAATCCCGGGAAACTATTATTGCAAAATGAAAATTGGAACCCAAGTTTGGGACAGTGAAAAAAAAAGTAAGATCAGGGAGAAGCCGGAGAGATGCTGGAATCCAAGTTTTGGTCTGACTTTCTTGCCAAGCCAGGATTTCCTGAAAAGGCCTTACCCAACAGCTAAGCTAGGAATCATGGTTTATAAACCAAATGCCCCAGAGCGCAGACCTTGTGACCCCGGCAGGCGTTGTGCAAACTTGGCCCAAACCCCCCAAAGCTTCAGAACTGCTGCGGACCGGACCGGGGCGGGGAGAGGGCATTTCGGCACGCGCTTCCCCGCCCCCCCCCCCATTCTAGCGCGCGCAGCCGCGGCGGCCCTGCCTACCCACTTCCTCCCTCCCTCCCGTCCTGCGGCCGGCCATGGCACGCTCGGCGGCGGCGGGGCGGCTGCCGCTGGTGGTGGTGTTGGGCGCGACGGGCACCGGCAAGTCGCGGCTGGCGCTGCAGCTGGGGCTGCGCTTGGGCGGCGAGATCGTCAGCGCCGACTCTATGCAGGTGCGCGGGGCCCGCGGGGAAAGCCGGACGCGAGGCGGCTCCACTCGCCGCAGCGCCCTGGCTGCCGAGGGGCGGCCGGGAGCCAACCGGGGGTGGAGCTGCG